ACTCCCTGGCCACAGCAGAGAGCTGGCCTGGAAGAGGGGCAACTGGGACAGAATCCGGAGCCCCAACCGGGACTAGAACCCGGCGTGCCGGAGCCGCAAGGCAGAGGATTAGCCTAGTGAGCTGCAGCGCCGGCGAGCTGATATCTTGATATCTAGCTTTCCCCCCTTACACAACAGCTTTCCATTTCTTTATCTGGGCTTCTGCTCTTGAGCCCTTTCAGTCTGTGTTAGCTCTCTGCTCAAATCTCTTTCTGGAATAGAGGCCTTGTCTTCATCTTGAAGGCCCATCTCTGCAAGGATTTCATACCAGTGACAGGTAGACTCTGTCAGCATCTGGTGTCTAATTTCCAAGGACAGATATCCAAGTGGGCAATTCACCTTTTGGATTTCCAAGTTTTGACTCCTGGAACACCCTATGACTAGTCTACATCCAATTAGACAGCAAGACCATCTTGATATTATGCTTTTTAAAGTAGTTAATTCAGATCAATCCAAATAATACGGGTGTGAATGGTACTTGAACTGTCTGGAGATGGTTACTGCGTAGGTTGTTCTGCCTTTTTGGCCTGCCTAAACTTCTATAATTCACAAGGAGCCGCCTGCCAGACACATCCCCCTCTACAGGGGGTGTACAGACAGGTGCAGATTCTACCCAAATAGTCTTGACAGGAATAAATAAATCATCACTCTTTACTGATAAATTCCCAATTGTGATAACCATCTACAATGGAGACAGTATTTTACTCCATTTCAGCATCAAAGTGGGTGGAGACAGCATCTTGAATTGATTAAGTCTAAGGACCTTGAAGTATAGATCCTACCTCCATCACTTTTTGTATTATCAATGTCTCCATCTGTAAATAAGTGTCCTGATAATACACATCCCCTAGGGTACGGTGAAGACTAGAGATGATAGCCATTGTCTCAATACAGTAGACTGCTTAGAGTAATGCTTGACATGTAGTGATTGTTCCTTACATGGTTGATTACTCTTACTAATGAGAGAGAGGAGAAAGGTGCAAAGGGAAGGAGTTGCAGAAATAACAGCATGAAAGCCATGGAGAAAAGGAAGAATTAACTGTGAAATCTCTGACTTCATGAGGAAGGAATGGGTCAGGTGCAAAGGCAGTGCACTCTTTCATCTTCTATCATCCAAGGGTGAGTGGTTAGGAGGGTAAGTGGAAGTACAGTCAGAGTCAGTGTTCTCCATGTTATGATGATAAATTTGAGATCAGAACATAAGACTGTGAGTCTTGGTGCCCAGAAATAAATTTCCTTATACAGAGGAGTCATGAGTTTCCACACTTGAACTTCCCTTATGCTAATTATTTTAGGGGGAAGTGAGACTTTCTACATTCAGCTCTCCAAATAATTTTAATTGCTTCTGCCGAGAATTCTACAGAGGTGCACAAAATCAGTGTTGACTCTTAAGCCTAGCACTAAAAATGAGGGCTCACCTCTACCAGGAATAGTTGCAGGAGAAATTTAGGATATATTTTTTTGCAATAAGGAAATGTTTGTGGAAAGATACATGAGGCAAAAAGATACATCAGTAAAGGGAAATGATATGGAAGGTACTTCTGACTTTTCTTCTATGAAAGTAAGCCCTGAAGTGAGCATTTGGCCTAGCAGTTAAGACACCTGTGTTTCATAATGTCATGCCTGGGTTTGACTTCCTGGCTGTAGATCCTGACTCCAGTTTACTCACAATACAGACCCTTGGAAGCAGCCTTGATGGCTTAAGTAATTGGGATCCTGCTAACCATATGGGAGACCCAGATTGCATTCCTGGATTCTGGCTTTGGCCATGGATCAGTCTAACTGTTGAGGGCATTTAGGGAGTAAAACAATCGAAGGAAACTCCCTTTCTGTGTGTGTAACTTGTCTCTCTCTCAAAAAAAAAAAAAAAAACAACCCAAAACAATAAAATAAACCATCAGAAACAAGCCAGCAAAATACAAGTCTCTACTCCCTATTTCATGGGTCCCTGATAAAAGGAATATCTCCCCTGGTTTTCTTTTCCAGTATGCTGTCAGCCCATACTTAAGCTCAAACTCTGACCGCCTTTCCTCCTGCTCACATTGCTTGGGTTGCCCAGTATTTTGATGTTATAAAGCCACAGCTATTCCTAATAATGCATGCAAAGCAAGTGTGAAAAACAATAGAACTAGATAATATTTGTTAAGCAGTTTATGTTCCTGTTCTTTGCCAAGTGCTGTATATGCATTATTATTCTAATCTCAAAATAACCCTACTGTATTAATAGTTTTCCCACTTAGAGATGGAAACAACCAAGTGAGAGAGGTTAGATAACTTTCCTAGGGTCATAAAGCCGATGAGTGTGAATGGTTAGCTACTACCTGAACCCACTGCTTTCATTTCAGTTTCAGTACATGGGGAAGTGACTAGAGCTGCCTTTTGTCTTAACCAGTGCTAGCCCTTGCGGAACATCAGGTATTTTAAAACTTAATGAGTGAGGTCAGGTGTAGCAGAAAGACCTCTAGCTTTGCGATGAGAAGAGTAAAGGTGTGTCTCCAGCTCTACCAATTTCAGGAGGTGAAATTTCAGGAAAAATTTTAAACTTCAGAATCTTAGTTTATTTTTTCTTTACATAATGGAATTAATCACATCTAGCTTTCTATTTTAATGGTTTTCTATAGATAGCAAGAATATAAGCACAAACTCACAGAATACCTTACAAATTAAATGGTATAAAATTCTGTCTAGTCTTTCTCTGAAAGATTAGGGGTATTCCTAGATCCAGTTCATCTCTCCATGTAGCACTTTCAGTCTGCCTCACAAGGGTGACCATCTCACTGGCTCCAGAGCCTTGCCTTAGCTCATGGTTACAAAAACCATGAAGATCAAAATAAAAGGAGCCACAACTTTAAATTGCCAAGGGGACAAGAGGAATCACAGGTATTGTTTCTACCTTTTCAGAAAATCCTAACCCTCTACATTCACTGGCTTCTAACTCATGCCAGAAGTTTTCTACTATATTTCCAGAGTTGGTAAGAGATACCAACTAGATAGAACTAGATTCAGAGACTTCAAACATGGTGAGTTTTTGTCTAACCAGGAAAATTATTTGAATTTGATGAGATAATAATGCCATGCCATCTTAATATTACATAGTTTGTACTAATAACAACCAATATTCATTTTTGTCCTTTATAGTTTGCTACTAAGCCATAAGCAAGAAAAACAAGGGTTTAAAGTTAGTTTAATTTTAATTTAATGCTCCCTACCTCTTTTTTTTTGATAGTTAACTTATTCGTAAAAATGAGATAAAGATCTCTTCAATTTAATTTAGAGAGTTTTTGGGGGGATAAAAGTAGGCTAGTAGCTGGGAATGTGCTTTGAAAATAAACAGAGCTTAGAGATGAGATTTTACAATGATCATGTGATACATCACTCTAACTTAATAGAACAATGAAACACAGTTAGGAAGAAAATATTTCTGAAAAACCATATACTGTACTCTAGTGCCAGAAAGAAATTGCTTTTAGTTATTCAATGTTTTGGATAATGTTTTTGTCAAGCTTGGGGAGTGGGTTTACCAAGTGCTAACCCTTCTTCTGAGAAGATAGTTTTATCTCAGAGCTTTGGAGGTAGCACAGATAAAATTCAGAAATATGAACTCTTACCACTGAAAACCACTTAGGCTTAGGTCTTTAGCTTCTTCCCAGTCAGTTGGTTTTCTTTTGAGTATAAAATATACTGATACTTAGGGCATTACGTTAAAAACATATTAAAGCAACACTTCAGTGTCTTCCCAAATGTAATTTTTAGAACAATGAAAACTAGGAGGGGTTAGCAAAGATCAGAACTCACAGATAGGCAGGCAAAGGAGCAAGATCCATAGGTGGTGCAGAGCCATCTTCTTCTGGGGTCTAAATGTCTGCACCAGAGCGGCTCTGTGCTGGCAGAGACTGTTTTGCTTGAGTTTCTTGCTCCTTTTTATAGCCACGTTTAAGAAAGGAAGTGTGAGCTAACTGATTTAGGAAGACTTGTTTTTTTTATTGCTATGCTAATTTTTTCCAATTAGATAACTTAAAAGGTGCCTTGCCTTAATTAGTATTTGTCCAACAAAATCCAAATATTTATTGAGTACCTACTATGTGGCAGATACTATTCTGGGCACTAGTAAAATAAAGAGTAACACAGTAATTGCTTGACCTCTTTTTGTGGGGCTTATGATCTCTTTGGAAGGATCAACAGTCAAACAGGCAACTCCAATATAGTGTGATAAATGTTGCCATGGGAGAAATACAAGGAGCTATGGGAGTGGCAGGGGCATCTAACCCAGGCTAAAGGGAGCTGCCAAAACCTCCCTGAAGGAACGGACAACTGTGCTGAACAAGACCTAAAGAGTGAGTTAGCATTATTAGGCAAAAGCTGGTGGTAGATAGGAAAGAAGAAAAATGTCTCAACACATGGTAGGAGCTTATTAAGTGGTAGTAATTAATATTATATCATTAACATTACATAAATTGATAGAATTATGTAATTATATAAGATAAATTATAGATTAATTTTATTGTAAGCAAATAGAATGATATATATAATCATTATTATTTCTCCTTATGGAAATTATTTACTATAATTAATATTTAGCATATTAACAACACACAATTATGGTGATATATACCATATATACATATATGGTAATATATACTACGACCTTGTCTAAATATGATCAGAGTTGGTGAACTCAAAAGGCTTCCATAGCCTTGGCAACTCATGACAAGAGCCTAGGGTGATTACTGATGCCATAAACAAGAGTGTCAATTTGTTAAGTCAACAACAGGAGTCACTGTGCACTTACTTACTCCTCATGTAGGATCTCTGTCCTTAATGTGTTGTACATTGTGATTTAATGCTATAACTAGTACTCAAACAGTATTTTTCACTTTGTGTTTCTATGTGGGTGCAAACTGTTGAAATCTTTACTTAATATATGCTAAACTGATCTTCTGTATATAAAGAGAATTGAAAATGAATCTTGCTAGAAAAGCGGCGGCAGCGGCTCCAGCAGCAGCGGCAGTGGCAGCAGCGGCAGCAGCGCCGGGCCCCGGGCGGAGGTGCTCGCAGGCGGTGTTGTTTCTCGAGCTGCGGCAGTGCTCAGCCCGGCGCCAGGACGAGTCCGGCTCGCGTTCGTCCGCGGAGATCTCTCTCATCTCGCTCGGCTGCGGGAAATCGGGCTGAGGCGACTGAGTCCGCGATGGAGAAAACTTTAGAAACTGTTCCTTTGGAGAGGAAAAAGAGAGAAAAGGAACAGTTCCGTAAACTCTTTATTGGGGGCTTAAGCTTTGAAACCACAGAAGAAAGTTTGAGGAACTACTACGAACAATGGGGAAAACTTACAGATTGTGTGGTGATGAGGGATCCTGCAAGCAAAAGATCAAGAGGATTTGGTTTTGTTACTTTCTCATCCATGGCTGAGGTTGATGCTGCCATGGCTGCAAGACCTCACTCAATTGATGGGAGAGTGGTTGAGCCAAAGCGTGCTGTAGCAAGAGAAGAATCTGGAAAACCTGGGGCTCATGTAACTGTGAAGAAGCTGTTTGTTGGTGGAATTAAAGAAGATACTGAGGAACATCACCTTAGAGATTACTTTGAAGAATATGGAAAAATTGATACCATTGAAATAATTACTGATAGGCAGTCTGGGAAGAAAAGAGGCTTTGGCTTTGTTACTTTTGATGACCATGATCCTGTGGATAAAATTGTATTGCAAAAGTACCACACCATCAATGGTCATAATGCAGAAGTAAGAAAGGCTTTGTCTAGACAAGAAATGCAAGAAGTCCAGAGTTCTAGGAGTGGAAGAGGAGGTAACTTTGGTTTTGGAGATTCACGTGGTGGTGGTGGGAATTTTGGACCAGGGCCAGGAAGTAATTTTAGAGGATCTGATGGATATGGAAGTGGACGTGGATTTGGAGATGGCTATAATGGGTATGGAGGAGGACCTGGAGGTGGCAATTTTGGAGGTAGCCCTGGTTATGGAGGAGGAAGAGGAGGATATGGTGGTGGAGGACCTGGATATGGCAACCAGGGTGGGGGCTACGGAGGTGGTTATGACAACTATGGAGGAGGAAATTACGGAAGTGGAAATTATAATGATTTTGGAAATTACAACCAGCAACCCTCTAACTACGGTCCAATGAAGAGTGGAAACTTTGGTGGTAGCAGAAACATGGGGGGACCATATGGTGGAGGAAACTATGGTCCAGGAGGCAGTGGAGGAAGTGGGGGTTATGGTGGGAGGAGCCGATATTGAGCTTCTTCTCTTTGCCTTGGGCTTCACTGTATAAATAGGAGAGGATGAGAGCCCAGAGGTAACAGAACAGCTTCAGGTTATCGAAATAACAAATGTTAAGGAAACTCTTATCTCAGTCATGCATAAATATGCAGTGATATGGCAGAAGACACCAGAGCAGATGCAGAGAGCCATTTTGTGAATGGATTGGATTATTTAATAACATTACCTTACTGTGGAGGAAGGATTGTAAAAAAAAAAAAATGCCTTTGAGACAGTTTCTTAGCTTTTTAATTGTTGTTTCTTTCTAGTGGTCTTTGTAAGAGTGTAGAAGCATTCCTTTGATAATGTTAAATTTGTAAGTTTCAGGTGACATGTGAAACCTTTTTTAAGATTTTTCTCAAAGTTTTGAAAAGCTATTAGCCAGGATCATGGTGTAATAAGACATAACGTTTTTCCTTTAAAAAAATTTAAGTGCGTGTGTAGAGTTAAGAAGCTGTTGTACATTTATGATTTAATAAAATAAATTCTAAAGAAAAAAAAAAAAAGAAAATGAATCTTGATGTGAATGGAAGGGGAGAGGGAGTGGGAAAGGGGAGGGTTGTGAGTGGGAGGGAAGTTATGGGGGGGAAGCCATTGTAATCCATAAGCTGTACTTTGGAAATTTATATTCATTAAACAGAAGTTAAAAAAAAACATACAATTATGGTAATATATAAGATCCAGTATCATATAAATATAGTTATAATATATAAAACATTATAAGTATATGACAGATAACAATATATAATTATATACTTATAAATATGATTACTATTATACTTTTTAGAGATACAATACATTTTTTTAAAGATTTTATTTATTTATTTGAGAGGTGGAGTTACAGACAGTAAGAGGGAGAGACAGAAAAGTTTTCTGTCCATTGGTTACTCCCCAAATGGCTGCAACGGCTGGAGCTGTGCTGATCCGAAGCCAGGAGCCAAGAGCCAGGAGCTTCTTCCAGTGTCCCACATGGGTGAAAGGGCCCAAGGACTTGAGCCATCCTCCACTGCTTTCCCAGGCCATAGAAGAGAGTTGGATTGGAAGAGGTGCAGCTCAGACTAGAACCGATGCCCAGATGGGATGCCGGCGCTGCAGGTGGAGGATTAACTTACTGTGTCACAACGCTGGCCCCAACAAAGTGTATTTTTTAAAAAGATTTATTTATTTACTTGAAAGAGTTATACACAGAGAGAGAGGAGAGGCAGAGAGAGAGAGAGGGAGAGAGAGGTCTTCCACCTGCTGGTTCATTCCCCAGTTGGCTGAAACAGCTGGAACTGTGCTGATCTGAAGCCAGGAGCGAGGAGCCAGGAGCCAGGAGCCAGGAGCTTCTTCCTGGTATCCCACACAGGTGCAGGGGCCCAAAGACTTGGGCCATCCTCTACTGCTTTCCCAGGCTATAGCAGAGAGCTGGATCAGAAGTAGGGCATCTGGGACTCGAACCAGCACCCATATGGGATGCCAGCACTGCAGGCGGCAGCTTTACCTGCTATGTCACAGTGCGGCCCCCACAATACACCTTTGATAAGACTTAAAATCGAAAGGGATTCTTTAGACTATCTACTCTGTTTTGTAGCTGGGGAAACTGTGATTTTTCCCAGGATGACACAGTGAGTTACAGAACTGGGGTAACAGCCAGAGAAGGTTATTTGCTGAAGCCTGCACTACACAGACATGCACAGCAGCAGGTGCAGAGGAAGCACACTCAGGAGGGATTAAGCCAGGTGTAACATGGGACTGTTCTTCAGCAATGGCCCACGTCCCAACCATAAGAGCGAATGCCCTTCTCTGTGCAGGGGTGTGTCATGGGGTGGCGGTGGGAATAAATATTTGGGTCCAGGAGCCAAGAAGTTTGATCTTGGGCCTCATTGTTTTGAGGAGTGCTGGGAAGGCTGGGGACACAGTGCTTGAGTTCTGGGGGTGGGGGTGGGGGTGGGTAGAGTTGTGTACAGCTTTTCTCACTGAGAGGAGATGCTGACTAACTGATTCTAAGCAAACCGATTCTCCGGAACAAGTCTTTAAATAATTCTGTTTAGGGGCCGGCACTGTGGCATAGCAGGTAAAGAGGGCACCTGCAGTTCCACCATCCCATATATGGGCACTAGTTCAAGTCCCGGCTGCTGCAGTTCTGATCCAGCTCTCTGCTATGGCCTGGGAAAGCAGTGGAGGATGGCCCAAGTCCTTGGGTGCCTGCACCTATGTGGGAAGGCCCAGAGGAAGCTCCTGGCTCCTGGCTTCAGATCGGCGCAGCTCTAGCCATTGTGGCCAACTGGGGAGTGAACCAGCGGATGGAAGACCTCTTCTCTGTGCCTCTCCTTCTCTCTCTGTGTGACTCTGACTCTCAAATAAATAAATCAATCTTTCAAAAAAGAACTCTTCAGGCCGGCGCCGCGGCTCACTAGGCTAATCCTCCGCCTAGCGGCGCCGGCACACCGGGTTCTAGTCCCGGTCGGGGCACCGGATTCTGTCCCGGTTGCCCCTCTTCCAAGCCAGCTCTCTGCTGTGGCCAGGGAGTGCAGTGGAGGATGGCCCAAGTGCTTGGGCCCTGCACCCCATGGGAGACCAGGAGAAGCACCTGGCTCCTGCCATCGGATCAGCGTGGTGTGCCAGCCACGGCGGCCATTGGAGGGTGAACCAACGGCAAAGGAAGACCTTTCTCTCTGTCTCTCTCTCTCACTGTCCACTCTGCCTGTCAAAAATAAAAAAAAAATAAATAAATAAAAAAGAGAGAAGAGGGCCAGCGCTATGGCTCAATAGGCTAATCCTCTGCCTTGCGGTGCCGGCACACCAGGTTCTAGTCCCGGTCGGGGCGCCGGATTCTGTCCCGGATGCCCCTCTTCCAGGCCAGCTCTCTGCTATGGCCCAGGAGTGCAGTGGAGGATGGCCCAAGTACTTGGGCCCTGCACCCCATGGGAGACCAGGAGAAGCACCTGGCTCCTGCCTTTGGATCAACGCGGTGCACCAGCCGCAGCGCGCTGGCCGCGGCGGCCATTGGAGGGTGACCAACGGCAAGGAGACCTTTCTCTCTGTCTCTCTCTCTCTCACTGTCCACTCTGCTGTCAAAATAATAATAAGATAGAATACACATGTTATTGAAGGCGGAGTTACTAAGAGACAGTAGAAACAGAACGATAAAGAGAGAGAGGAAGATAGAGACTACAATATTCATTTATTTGACAGCCAGAGTTACTAAGAGAAAGGAAGAGACAATGAGAAAGAAAGACAGACCGACTAAGATGCTCCATCCTCTGGTTCACTACCCAGATGGATTCCATGTCCAGGGTTGAACCAAGCAGAGGCAGGAGCAGGAGTGTGTGGTTGTAGCAAGCAAAA